GGGCCGCGGAAGCAGAGCGCACGAACTTAACCACTTGGCCAGGGGGCTGGCCCCATTTTTTTTTTTTTGCAATAATCTTTTAGAGCAGAAAGTAACCTAACAAATGGGGAAACAAGGCCCCGGGAGGTGACAGAACTTGCTCGCATCACATAGAAACCAGATCCAGGTCCACAGCCGTGACATTTCCAGCTCACCGCGATGCCTCTGCTCAGGCTCTGCTCTGGCTGAAACGCTGCTCCCCTTCCTCTCAGCTTATCTAAACTCCACCATGCGCCAGGGCTGAGCTCAAATCTCCACTCGCCTGGAGCTCCTGTCGAGGTCTTGGCAAGCTCCTGCAGCTCTGGTCTGTGGCTGGCCTTGGCACCAGGCCACACTACCTCCCTTGCTTTCCCTGTGACTCACGTCTCCTGGCTCAGCGGTGAGGGCTCCAAGGCTGGGACCACACGTGTCTTTCTGGACGCCCTGGGCCTCAGAAAGTGTTTGGCGTTGCCAAGGCTGGGACTAGGGTGAGGCGAGCAAAGAGCTTACGATGCAAAACTGAAGGAGGTGCTCACGCTTGGGGTCGTGCAAGGGCTTCTGAGGCAGCGGGGTGGGGAGGGGGGGTGCTGAGCAAAGCAGAGGAGGCTGCTGTTGTGGGTGAGCTCAGACGGCTGAAGGTGAGTCACCCAACAGGATAATCCACTTCTGAGAGCTCTCTCCTAGTGTGCCTGGGCATTGGGGTGAGCCTACCAACTGATTAATATGTTGTGCCTTTACCAACCCTTCTGTTCTCAACTAGCAGTTTCACATGAAGAGCTCCTGCCCTAAGATGCTAAACCCAAAGCTTATCAAAATGTTTGACGTAAAAATAGAAGTGAGTAGGACGTGTCACCTTGCCTAGGCTCACACATCCACCTTCAGACGTGTAAGACCTAGTGGGACCCGGACCATCAAAGGGGCAACTGACCAATTGATGGTCATTGCCACCTTCCCGCTAGAATGAAGCAGGGACCTTGTCTATTTCCTTTATCACTCTCCACCCTACAACCAGGTCAGCAGCGGTGTTGACAACTTTATGTATCTGTTACCCTGAAGTGACAATAACAGTGTCTTAGTCAGGTAAGCTTCAGGAATCATTAAAACTTTCAGAAGTAGAAATGATTAAGGTTTGAAAATAACACAAATTTTGATGGAGTGGGGGGAATGGGGGTGAAAAACCGAGCAGTGAGGACCCCATGTGTGAGGATGCCTGGGGCTGACCTGTGCCATCAGGTGCCTGCCCACCTCTGACCCTGTGGGTCCCAGAGCCCTTTTTCCCCTCAATTGAAAAATAGTAATCAGTATGGCAGAGACATTTACCACCCAGGGCGTGCTCTCCCACATTTCCAAGTCCCCTGCAGTTGGCGGGGCCAGGAGGCCAGTCCTGTCACTGTTGGCCCAATCTGACTAGTATAATCAGCAACATTAGTCACTGACTAGCAGCTTCGCAGAGTAACTGATGCTTGGAAAATACATCCAGAATGAGAGCAGCATATACTGCGAAATACATCTTCACGGACAAACATCAATTCAAAGGCTTTAAAGAAAGGCTTTCACCTTAAAGTTATCCTGGGCCCTCGGCCTGCTGGAGCGCCAGGACCTGTGAAAGCATGCTGTCTAAACCATGCCTGTAACCGTGTCCTCAGCTGTGGGATCCTGGGCTGTTTGGCAGCTCGCTGCCCTTGGTGTGTTTTGCTTAAGGGCACACTTATTTGCATTTGCCGAGCAGCCCAGTGACAAGCAAGGAGAAGCCCAGAAGCCTAGATGGAGAACAGAGGGGAGTCAGAATTCAACATTTGCTAGGAGGACCACTCAACCTCCAGAGCCAGGCTCTCCTGTGTCTGTTAAATATGATGCAGGGCCTGCGGGGGCTGCAGTGTTTTATTTGTGTTATCTTTAAGCTTCTTCTCTTCCCCTGACTTGGGGGCAATTTATTAATTTGTACGAGGGTGACAGAGGTGGCACTCTCGCCCCAGCTCTCTGTGGGGGTATTATTACAGTTTTACCATTCCTGAGTAGTAGCACGTCTTGGTTTTTCGGCCAGACCCCGGGAGCTGCCACGTTCTCAGCCCCGCACGAAGGGCGGGGCTCCAGGCCCAGCACTCCCAGCTGCCCAGCCGGGGGGCAAAGGCTTGTGGGCGCCCCTGGGGAACCGAGGCCTGGTCTGCTCTTTACAGAGACATTCACCAGAATTAACGAGCACCCCCTCCAAAGCCACTGCAATTCCTGAGTCTTTACGAAAATTAAAGGCAGCTATTTTTACCCTCATGCTCTGAAGCCACTCTGAAGGCCTCGCTCCAAACACTAACCACTCAGCCCGCCTGGCCCTCACGCGGGCTGCCTCGGGATCCTGCTCTCAGCGTTTATGCCTCTTCCTTCCCTAACAGCTTCCACCCACTCGCTGTGTTAAGTTCGTACTCCACAGGCTTTTCTCTCTTTCTCGTGCATCTTCTCCAGCTGCTGTAATTTGAGGAAGGAACCATACAGACTGTTCTTTCAAGCAAGTCTCTAATGTCTTGCATAACCATCCTTCAGAAAGAGAAAGAGACAGGAGAGCCACGTGTTCCAAGAACGGAGGAGGAATTCTGAGAGGAAGATGCCTAAGTGGGCCCACAACTCCAGGGACCCAAAGAATATCTTCTCCCAGGAAGCCAGTCAAAGGCTGGGTTGAGGTTTGCTCTCTTTCCATTGGTTGTAAATGAGATTTTGGGAGAAGACAGTCAATTATTTCAAGCAAATGACAACCCTTAAGGGGCGGAATGCCATCACTTGAATTCCCTCTCCGGGCTTGTGTGCAGGGAGGCTGCCTTGCTCGGTGGAGCAATTTTTAAACACTTTAGAGACATCATTTTCTCGCAGCTCACCATAATCTCTGGGTGTCAAGTGGACAGCAAGGATTACTCCCCTCCTCTTATGACAAAAGAAACTGAGGTATCGGAGATACAGGTGCTCCCTGCCGCCCGCTTCTCCCCAGCAATTCTGAGTGCACTGTCTCACCCAGGCAGACAGCTTCCCATCTCTCCTCTCTCTTCCGGCGTGGATGAAAGGTGATACCCAGGAGGCTGGGACCAGAATAAAGTCCTCACCAAGTACCACCGCATCTACGTGGTCTGTGACTGTTTACCTCAAAAATAATGGTAAATCGGGGCCTGCCCGGTGGCGCAGCGGTTAAGTTCGCACGTTCCGCTTCTCGGCGGCCCGGGGTTCGCTGGTTCGGATCCCGGGTGCGGACATGGCACTGCTTGGCAGCCATGCTGTGGTAGGCGTCCCACATATAAACTAGAGGAAGATGGGCACGGATGTTAGCTCAGAGCCAGGCTTCCTCAGCAAAAAGAGGAGGACTGGCAGTAGTTAGCTGAGGGCTAATCTTCCTCCAAAACAACAACAACAACAACAACAACAACAACAAAATAATGGTAAATCAACCCAAGAGGCTCCTTACAACACACACAGAAGCATCTTCCCTGGTTGCAGGGAGAGAAATCTGGAAGGAAATAAAAGCTGATTGACCTACTGTCCAAAGTAGAAAACCAGTTACATCCTTCATTTCAGATGAAAGGAAAGAGCTGTTAGCAGCTGACTGACTAGGAAAGGACATGATTCAGCTCCAAATTATTCTCCTTTGGGGCTAATAATTGTTTGAGAGCAGTCTGTTATATGGGAATTAGTGAATCCATGTTAGCTGCAACCAGGTAAGAAAGGCAAAGCCAAGGCAGACTGGCCGAACGCCTCTCCCAGAGTCCCATACAGTAAGTTAAAGGCCGGCAGAGTACTGTAACACACCGCCACGTAACCAGAGCGCTCGGAACCTACTCTCAGGCACCCCAGGTTTTTAAAAAATTTAATCTGTTTATTTTATAGCTCACCTGTAACACAGCTATAGATCTTACAAACAGATGGAGCTGGGATGAACCACAGACAGAACCAATTCCAATTCTTCATTACTCAGCTGAGAGGAGTGACACCTAGAGGGGGTCAGTGACTTATCCAAAGTCACCAGTTAGTGAGGAACAGATGCGGCAAGTGCACGCAGGTCTTAGACCCCTTCACACGGTACAGTCTGCAGTGCTGCCATAAAGACGTGGATCACACAGGCATGTCTGCGAACACGTGTCCTGGGTAGATGAGTATTTCCACGTACGGGAATCGAGCCAAGGGGCCAGGGCTACAAACTCAAGCAACTGTGCCCTGCTCAGCCCGGCCGGGGCCAGGTGTGTGCCTCGCTGCTCTGGGGTCCCTCTTGTGGAAGGATGGCGCTCTTTCAGGAGGGACCTTCTCTAGCCACCTTTACTCATTTTTATTTCATCTTGATGGACTTACGGCCATATTTTTAAAAGTTACTTAGAAAATTGTGTAGCACAGAAATAATGCTGTAAGAACTCGACTATGGCAACCCTTTAGACCTTTAAATGAGGGTAAGCTTTTTATTTCTGCAGTGTCTTAAAAGTCCCGGGAGGGCGTCCTGGCTGGCTCGGGGAGCAGGAGGACTCCAGGCATCTCCCCCCAGGCATCTCCCCGCTCAGCGGCTCTAGGGGAGGATTGACGAGGAGGAGCAGAGCGTTGGCAGGGTGGCAGTCAACTCCAAGCAGCCTGGAGGAAGGCAGGGACATGTGCCTGCTAAGGACCTTCCTGTGGTACACAGAACTGCACCTAATGTGGCTTTAGTTTATCCCAGGAGACAAACTCCACTTGTGAAATTGTCAGATCCGATGGAAGAAATCATTGGATTGTGTCCTCCTCTCACTCCTCCCAACCTCCCCCGTCCGAACCTCCAAGCCTCCAGGGACCCGGACGGCTCGCCCACCTGCAGTTCCTGTCAGGACACTGGTCAAAGGCTGAAGGAGGCATTTCCATGAGTTCAGTATCTCAGCCCAACATTCCCAAAGGACGTGAGTACACAGGTTTGAAACTTAAATCGAGTCAAATATTTACTCTAGATTTCACTTAGTATTTTTAAGCAGTTATAAAGCAAAAAGGCCCAATAGTTTTCAAGTAAGTGACTTTTATTTTTCTCTGACATTTCACAGTCAATTTCTACAAAACTTCATACTTCTCCAAAAGAATTCACATTTGGTAAATAAATCTCTATCCTAAAGAATTCATAGCAGGAAAAACACTTCAATATGTGCACGAGAGTTACTTTTCTGAAGGAGTCATAGTAGAAAAAAGTCAGACAATACTATAATGAATAAAAAGCAATGAGAGTGTAATAAATTACAAACGTCATTAAACTCCATTCCCATAGCCAATTCAACCCGCAGCTTTTTCTAGATGTGTTTCAACACTGCCAACAAGATCTGCCAGGAGTTCTCCTGAGGGTTGGTGTGTGCTAAGAACGCCTTCTCACCTCAGAACGCGGCAGCTCCGCCACAGCGCGCGACACCAGACCAGAGCATGCACTGCCAAGACCAGTCCTACTTACAGCCTGTGCAGCCAGCCGACCTTCCTGCTCAACCCCGACGCTCCTCCGTTTGCCGATCTGGCTTCTGGCCCCAAACGTCTGCTAGCCTCAGTGGATCTCACCTTCCAAGATCTAGCTTCTCTACTTGGCTCCTTCTGCTAACAGCTCCTCCAGGGAAAGAACACCCATGCTAACAGCCTAGATGGGCTTCCGCACCAGCTTACAAGTTCAGCAAAGAGCCGGCGGGGGCGGACTGGGGGCGCTGCTTCTCCCTGCCCCTCAGCAGTGAGGAGCAATGACGGCTTTCATCATCTTTTACTGTGACAGGAAGGGAAACGGCAAACCTTAATCTAGGAAGAAGCGGCCAAGAGGCACAGAGCGCCACAGAGGGTTTTCCGATGGAATAAATTTGGTTCTCAGCAAGTGTGTGCAGATTTTTGACACTCAGTAAGGCTCATGACTGGTGCCCAGGCTGTTCTGAATGCACCTGTCTCCAGAGCTTTCCTGCCAAACATATTCTGCCAAAAAGGAAGCTTCCTCGCATGGTGCGCAGAGCAGAGATGCTGTGGTACCCCAGAGAGTCGGGGGGGCACGGGGAGTGGGCCAAGGGCAGACTGTTCCAAGGAGCTGCGTCTGCTTAGCGACATACTCGCTCCGATCCCTCAGACTCTTTCAGAAAGCCAATGGCAGATCACTATTATCCTACAGCGACCAGGAGCATCTCGGGATTTTTATTACCATCTCGAACTGTTTATTTCTAAATCGGTCCGATCTAAATCATACACAGTTGAGAACAAAGTGCAGGCAACCTGCCTACATCAGAGTTACAACTACCTAGTAAATACGAGCGTTAGCTTCTGGCCTTGGTAGAATTTCAAGAAGATTTTCCTTGTAGAAAAGATGAGGCTGGTCATACAGAACTTCTTATTAAGGTAATTTGTACAAAGATTTTCAAGAGGATGAGATTTTAGAATAAGAGGATAGAAAGTGTGAAACAATACCACTTAGAAATCTAAGCAGTTTACCTTTACAAGGAAGCTGGAAGAATGTGTACCATCTGGAAATTCTCATCAGATTCTCCATTTCTAGATGAACTTCACAGAACCAACACTATCCCTCCGGCTTTGCTGCCAAAATCCAATGCAAGACACAAACGCGACTCGCACAACAGCCGCTCCACGTCACCACGCACCGCACGGACACGTGGAAACTTCGGGTGTGAAGAGAAAACGGATAAGAACGCTTTCCAATTTTTTGTGGACTTATATTTCATAACCTCAGGATGACTTTAATTCCAAGTTTATCAGGCATCATAATCACTTCTTTCCCTTTATAAAAACAAAAGTAAAACAAAGGGGGCAGCAGAGGGTTAACTTACATTACACTCTCAGGAACCAGGAAGCCATCTTTAAGATTTTCATACATAAAACAGGTTGCATTGTCCCAAAAGAAGAAAGGGAAAGAAGGCATAAATTACCAAAATCTTCCGGCTCCTGACAAGAGATGCCGGCCCTGTCTGCTTTCTCAGACTCTAAGTCAGAAAAGCAACTCATCAACTGTAATTCCAGATGGTACTGAATCCATTCCACACTTAAAAATCTGAAGGATTCTGCCCACCAGTTTAAGTGAAGAGAAGCCTGGCTTGTGACTAAGGTGTAGAGTCAGACGGTACAGCCCTTTCCCCTTGACTTCCACGTCTAAGAAAACAAAGCTTTAAGTGATTAAGTGCTGGCACCCCCAGCCCAACCTGTGCCCAAAGCACTTCAGGTTTCACCCAAACGCACTGCCTCTTATTTTCCTCTGTGACTAAGACGTTCAAGGGCAGAGCCATGAAGGGATCCTTAAGTCACCTACTCCCTGGCTTGACAGGAGCCACTCTGTACATTCATCCGTGTCACTCACCCTTGATCACAGTGAGTGGGTGGGATGGTGGGAGGTGACAGCTGGAAGAGCCCCACACAGTCATCTCTCCTCCTCTGCCCCGTGAACCATCTAAGCGCCTGAAGGCTAGGGAAAAGGAACTTGAGGACACTCCGAATCTGAGGTCCTCAGTGGAACAGAGACATAGTAAACTGTGCATAGACCACAGGTTAAGACAGCAGCCAGGTACTGGCATGTGGCTTCATACGTGAACTGCTGAATAGTTTAAGTTTAGAAGGAAAGCTCTTACATAAGTTTCAGGAAATAGGAATAAGATAACAGCAAAAGAGTTAAAGAACCACTCAAGTCACAGGAAAACGTGCCGTCTGAGCTATATGTCTGGGTGATCAGAGAGTGCTTCCAGGTCACTGCCAGCATGACTGGACCCGGATGTTAAAGACGCCTGCAGCCTGGCCCAGGCCTGAGGAGCCCTGCTCTTGGCGGCCTCTATAAACAGCTGGGTCTGCTCCTTTAGCTGGTCTAGTTCCACCTGAGTTGCCTGGTTCTGACGAATCAATTCCTTGGTTTTCAAAGTGATCTCCAGCAACCCGGACTTGTGCAGGACCACCAGGGTGTTCTGAAAGCGCCGGTGTTTGCTCTGCCGCTGCTCTGAAAAGACATCCGGGCTGCGGCAGAGGTGCTCGGCGGCCCAGAGAGGCGAGCTGTAATTAGCCGACAGCGGCGAGAGCGGGGAGCTGCTCTCTAACCCATGCAGGGTGCTGTCTGATGCGCAGACAGGACTGGCAGGGGACGCAAAGGTCAGACTGGGAGCTTTAGCCACGTGGCTGCTGGACACTGGCTGAAGAGTCTGAGGACTTCCGCCTGCCACCTGTGAGGGCACCCCCTGCAGGGCTGAGTCCTCGGCAAGCTTGGCACTGGGGGGCACGGGAGCTGGGGGCCTGGACGGCACAGCACCAGGCTTGGTCGGCTCACTGGAAGACAGGCTCGGCCCGAGTCTCTCAGCGCAGATCTTCTTCTGCGTGCCACTCTCTCCTCTCTCTTCGGGGCTGAAGCACCTTTTGCCTGGGTGTGGGGCTATTTTGGTATAGGAATTGAGAATGGGCAAGTAGTTCCTGGAGTCTGACTTTCTCTCGCCAGCGTGACATGGGCTAACAGGAGGCGGCACGGGCGGGTGCAGGAATAAGAGCTGTGGCTGCGCTGAGATGACTTCAAAGGAGGGCTGGACCGTCCACGACTGGGGCTGGGACGCGCTGCTGCCCTGAAACAAAGGGAGAAGAGCAGGTGACGCGTTACCCGCTGAAAGGACAGACGCGCGGGCTTCCGTCAAAGGAGCAAAGCAGACACGCGGACATTCACAACCATTTCAAGCACAGCGCTTCCCTCACCTAGAGGGCAGCCCTTCTCAAGAACAGGACTGGAGATGCGGCTTGAAAATCCATTTGGGTCTGACGGTGTAATTTTTTTTTTTACTTTTGCTAAGGGAAAACTGGGAGAAACATCTATTTTTATTCAAGTGCTATCATTCAGAAAAAGAAATTGTAGGTAGGTGAAGTACTGACATAGTTAAGGTCACAACTGAGGCCATAAAATAGAGATAGTAGGATTTCCTGGCACATGTTAAAATGTGCTAATCTCAAGCCTATAAGTGTGACTTCACCCCAAAGTCTATCTCCATTTACTTACATCTGGAACCTCTTGTACCTGAAAACAACTTCTGATTAAAGTTACATCATGTCAGGAATCCATGGACCCCATTTCAAGGCAGGGACACCCAGCAACCATAAACCCATTCAAGAGAACCATAGCCGCCGTGTATTGCTGCTCCTACGGGCTGGCACTGTGTGACGTTCTATGTGGGCTGTCTCATTAAATCTCCATACGCCCTCATGAGGTAGTTGTCATTTCCCTTCACAAATAGGAAACTAAGGCTTGGAAAGCTGAAATAACTTGCTTTAAGTCACCAAGCTACTAAGTGATGGAGCTAGGATTCCATCCTATGTCTGACTCTAAAACCCATCGTAAACATTCTGCTGTTCTGCCTTTGTTTTATTACTCCTCAGTTAGACATTTTCATTTCTAATTAAAGCATTGATTCAGATGGAAGTCTGATAGAGAAGGGCATGGCTACTTGTCTCTAATATTTAACAGCCAGTCCAGTTCCAACTCGGTCCCAAAGATATGAGTGTAGATGAGGCTGGCAGAGAGAGCCTGGCAGAGCTTCTGCTCCTTGGTGGGGTCCTTCGATTTAGCTGAAGAAGGCTATGGACTATCTTCCACACGTGCACACCATTTTGCACACATTTCAGCTTCCTGGACGCCTGGCTAGGAACTTTAGGCCAACTGTAAATCATCTCCTGTGCGAAGGCTGGGATGACCTGGGGAGTCCATTCTGGAGTCCTCTTGATGTTTAAATATACTCTGGGATGTTCGTAAGCAAACAATGCCAGGCCTAGCAACTGCACTTCCCTGTCAGAGGAGATCCAAAATCAGGGTTCCTTCTAAGCAGAGATCACCTAGTCCTGATCAGGCAGAAGCAAAACTTCAGGCTGCCCCCTGGTCACTCACACCCTAAGGGTGGGCCTACGAGGCAAACGGATCCAGAAAATATCCAGTCACTGCTTTCCCAAGATGCTCTCACTGGACTGTTCTTCCTAACGCCACTGCTCTACCCACTGCCCTAAGAGCTGCTTAGCTTACTTGTTCTAGTATGAGATTTTACAATGTATTATTCATGCTGAAATTATCTAGGGGCATACGGGACAAGATTTTAGACCTGGATAGGATCTCGGAGTCATTTCACATAAAGCCTTCATGGTAAAGATGAGGAAACTTAAGTCCATGGTGGGTAAGTAACTGTGTGCAACATCACAGTCCGGGGCAGAACTGGAACCAGACCTCAAAAGAAAAATACCTAAAACTAAGCAGCAATAAGCAAGGTCTTACACGAGATGCAGAGATTTTTTTTAAGTACATTGTTATTTTAATTCTAAAGTGTGCTGGATTCTAGCATGTGTGAAAAAACAAAACTAAACTCCTGGACTACTCCACCAGGTCAGCCCACCCCCAAGCCTCCTATCTCCTCATCAGCCCAGCAGCCTTCCCAGCTGTCTCTGTCCTGAGAATGCAGCTCCTGGAAAAGCCTCCTCAGCCCTCAGCCTGTTCTCAGCCCTCCCTCCAGAGCCGCCAGCCTCGCCTCTAACGAAGAAGGCAAGTGAGCACAGAGGCCCGAGATCAGGGGGTAGCAGCTCTGGTGGGGCCGGGACCACCAGACTTGGGCTCCATCTCACGTCTTTATTATCTCTCTTCATCTCAACAGGGAGAGCTGTGCTTCCCACTGAGATGTGATTTGCCAGGCAAAAATCTTCCAATTCTTTTCCCAAACTCCCCAGGTTGCCTTGTTGAAAATCAGTTTGTGCTCCTCAAAAATAACTAGGTAATAGTTGAAACTCTAAGGGTCCCTGTCAGGTCGCAGCCATATTCTTCCACCCAGGGTGGAGAGGTCAGCAACATAAAGCCAGACTTCAAACTTCACTAGCTTCAAGCAGCCTCCTCAGCGGACCCAGGTGAGAATGGGTCTATTTCAGAGCAAAGCAGGGAGAAGTTAAAGGTTCTTTAACCAAGTTCACATGACTGAGTTCTCGGTTTCAAACATGGGGCTTAGCTTAGATTTTCACCTAAATCTTCTTTCATAGCTAAACAACAGGGTATTCTTCAACTCCACCGCAATGCTGTGTGGACTCTGCCGGGACAGCCATCTGAAGCCAGCGAGCTGCTTTCTCACTAATGACATCAGCTTTGACTGATGACTAAGAAAGTGCTCAGAATGTGACATGAGAAACATGGAAACTGCCTCTAATCCTCAAACAAATAAATGCATCCCACATATCTAAATCCCCAGGGCAAGTCAAATTGAAAGAGAGCTTTTGTTTCCACTCTAAATTCTGCCATGTATTAGAAGGCACCACGGAAGTTATGACATTTCTGCTTGGTTCCTTTACACATCACTAAAGTGTTCTGGAGTCCCTTTGGACAGACTAGGAGTACAGAAATAAAACAGTCTTACTGTCTGGAAAACGAGAACACATGTCATGATTCTTGTATTCCTTTTTCAAGCACTGTCGGCAGTCGAAGGGAAAGCCCCCTCCCAGGAGAGAGGTGCGCCTCGCTGTGCTGCTCGTGGGCTGCTGCGAGACTCTCCCCTTGGTGGCGGTGGGGGGGCTCTGCACACAGCAACTCAGAAACTCTCACTCGCGCAGACGTTAGAAGCTATCGGGCCTGCTCACCTGTTTGACCAGCACGTTCTTCATGACGACCATGGGGGACAGTGCCGGGAAGGCACTGCTGGCCGTCTTGGAGCTCTGCCTTGGCCTGTCTTCTCGCTTCCAGCCTAAGGCGCTCAGCATGTCCTCCGACTCCATCTGCTCTGCCGAGCTCAGACATTCTGAGCTCCCATCTGGTGGGCAGAAGAATGGTTAGTTCACTCAGGCTCCAGGCTAGGGGCTCTTAACGGGGCCTCCTAGGAAGCCATGGACCCCTCGAAATTGAACGGAACATTTGTGATCTGTGTCTTTGTGAATTTTTCTGAGGAGAGGGTCTTTAGCTTTCACTGGATTCTCAATAGGATCCAAAATTATCCCTCCCACCTCAAAAGACTGAATTACTGCCCTAGGACAGCAGACTTCCTAACACTCTCACAGACAAAAGCCTGCATCAATTAGGGCTCAGTGACAGCAATCATCACCAGCTACAGGAGACAGGGGTTGAAGCCTTCAAACACAGCTCATTTCCTTCAAGAATCTGCTGTTGAAAGGGGAGGGGAGTGCGTGCAAACTGGCGCAGGGTTAAGACCTTCAGAGGCTCTGGGCACCACAAGATGTAATTATAACAAGAAGAACAAAACCAACCTCTAAACCTCAAATTGTACATCCATGCTAAAATTAGAATAGCTTCTTCTTAAGTTTTCTAATTGTAAAATTCTGGAAAAGTTCATCAAGGCTGAAGTTAAAAATGTCTTTCTTTGTTAGCCCCTCCGCCCAGTTCAGCACCTCCTTTGTTGGTGTCCTAAATGCACGTGGAGTGTGCCTGCTGGGGATCCTGCACAATGGGCGACAGACAGAGGCAAGTCTCCAACGCAAAGAAAATAAGCTTTCCTACGTGAGATCCAAGAGAAAGGACTTAATTAGCCACCTACTGGAGTCAACCGAGAGACTGCGGGAACCGCCAGTGAGGGGTCTGGTGACCCCCTAAATGCTCATCAGGAACCTCAAAGGAGCCTGGACAAGGCAGGACTGGAGCGTGACTACAACTTAAGTGAGTGCCACTGTCAACGCTTGTATTTTTTTTTTTTTGAGGAAGATTAGCCCTGAGCTATCATTTGCTGCTAATCTTCCTCTTTTTGAGGAGGAAGACTGACCCTGAGCTAACATCTGTGCCCATCTTCCTCTACTTTATATGTGGGACACCTACCACAGCATGGCTTGCCAAGCGGTGCCATGTCCGCACCCAGGATCCGAACCGGCGAATCCCGGGCCACCAACGCGGAACGTGCTAACTTAACCGCTGCGCCACCGGGGCGGCCCCTCAATGCTTGTATTTAATCAGAATCTCCAGTGAGGCTTTTTAGACAGTACAGATTTTGGGGTCCTCCCCTCCATCTACTGAATTGATGTATCTGGTGCCCAGGCAGGTGGGTTTCACACAGCACCACAAGTACTAACTCAAATGTGCACCTCAAGTCACGAACCATTAGGACCAAAACAAAGGACCTCAGGAGCAGTGCAGGCCTAGTGCTGGATCTGGCTTTCTAAATGCCATTCTGCACAAAAAGGAAACCAGGGCTCCTTGGAGAAACAGCTGATTCCAAGTCTTTGGCAGGGAAGTATGAGATGAGCTGGACATCTTATTGTCTCAGAAAGCGTGGAAATGCTCAAGCACAAATGGCGACACCTCAAAAAGACACAGGAGCTATCGAGAAGTGACTCCCAGTGGGCAGATGTGGGACAATCTGAGCATCAAACTGAATTACAAAAGAACTCCAACGAATCCACAGAGATACTCAAAGAAGAGGGCAGAGCAGGGAAAGCGCTTCTGTACGAACGAATGTCCGCTAACGAAACGTACGAGGAACGACAGAAGAGATTATCACCTGTAGACCAGAAACGAGGTAACCGATTCAGGCAACGATCACCAATGGAAGCTAAACCCACTGGTCAAGAGTTTGCTGCGGACATGATAGTCACACAATCTCAAAGTATCAAACCGTAAATTACTTAACTACGAAGAGAAAAGGGTACTTTTACCATAAAGAAATCTGGTATTCACTTACACACTACCTTAAGCAAGATCAACGAGAGCATCGCCAAGAATAAGACAAACTTAGAAGTCTGCTTATGTGTTGCAATGGGAAAGACACAGCATAAAAAACGTAGTATTCTGGTAAAAAATGTTTATCCCGGGGCTGGCCCGGTGGCATAGCAGTTAAGTTCACACACTCTGCTTTAGTGGCTAGCGGTTTTGCTGGTTCGGATCCTGGGTGTGGACTTAGGCACCACTTATCAAGCCATGCTGTGGCAGGCGTGCCACCTATAAAGTAGAGGAAGATGGGCACAGATGTTAGCTCAGGGCCAGTCCTTCTCAAAAAAATAGTTTATCCTGAGTGTTTTTCCCCCCTGAGGAAGATTAGCCTTGAGCTAACATCTGTCGCCGATCCTCCTCTTTTTGCTGAGGAAGACTACCCTGAGCTAACACCCGTGTCCATCTTCCTCTACTTTACATGTGGGACACCTGCCACAGCATGGCTCGATCCGGGGTTCGCTGGTTCGGATCCCGGGTGCAGACATGGCACCACTTGGCAGCCATGCTGTGGTAGGTGTCCCACATATAAAGTAGAGGAAGATGGGCACGGATGTTAGCTCAGGGCCAGTCTTCCTCAGCAAAAAGAGGAGGACTGGCAGTAGTTAGCTGAGGGCTAATCTTCCTCAAAAAAAAAAAAAACCCCCAAAAAAACCAAAAAGCAGTGCATCAGTCCATGCCTGGGATCCGAACTAGGGAACCTCGGGCTGTGGAAGCAGAGCACAAGAACTTAACTGCTGTGCCACCAGACGAGGCCCCTGTTTATCCTGATTCTAATAAGGGAAAACTGCCAGAAAAATCCAGACTGTAGACATTCTACAAAAGAACAGGCCTAATTCATTCGAAGATGTCAATATCATTAAAAAAGAACGAAAAACAGGAAGAGAAGGGACAATGAGGGAGCTGTTCTAGACTAAATAAGACTGAAAAGACAGGACAACTAAACGAAATGCACAAGCCTCAACTGGATCCCGGATCCCAGACAGACAGACAAAAAGACAGACAGCTATAAATGACGCTACTGGAACAAGGGGAAAAATGGGAATGTGGACTGTAGGTAATTAATAACTATATTGACATTAAATTTCTTGCTTGGGTATACTGATAATGCACTTATGTAAAAAAAAATGGTATTTTAGGAGATTCACACAAAAGAACTTAGGGATAAAATGTCAAGTGTTTGCAACTTATTTTCAAACAGTTCAGCACATATAAATATATACATATATAAAATGTGTGTCTGTTGAGAGAGATAAAGCAAATATAGCAAAATGGTATCACTCAGTGGATCTGAAAGAAAGATATCTGTGGTATTCATTCACTTTTGTATAGCTTTGAAATTTTTCAAAATATAAAGTTAGGAAAATAATTGAAATGGAAAAAACTATCTTGGTTTTGCAAATGGCATCATATTCCAAGGTAGCTGGAATGATAACTCAGGCGGTGATGAAATCACTGGCACCTGGAGCGGGAGTGCCCGGACACATTCACTGGGGCCACTTTCTGGGGCATAATGAGTTTTGCGGGTTTTTGTTTTTGTTTTGCTGAGGAAGATTCACCCTGAGCTAACATCGATTGCCAATCTTCCTCTATTCTGTATGTGGGTCGCACCTAAGCACGGCTGCCGATGAGTGGTGTAGGTCTGGGCCCAGGAACTGAACCCGGGCCACTGAAGCAGAGTGGGCCAAACTTAACCACTAGGCCATGCGGCCAGCCCTGAGTTTGATCATTTTTAATACCACCATATGTTTGAACAGCACAATACTTTTTAAGGCACTTCTACTTAGAGAATAAAGAGACCACTAGAAGAACTATCCAGACTTTGGGACATTCTACAAGACAACTGGCCTGACAAAGTTGAAGTTGCCGGACGGAGAAGTGCCAAAATGTCAACAGCACCAGGAATAACAGGTGCTAGGGTTATGGATAATGTTTATTTTGCAGGTTCCTAAACTTCTAGGCTTCTATAATGAGCATGTATTACCTGCATGATACAAAAAACAGATGAAAAACAAACACGATGTTAAAAGAAAACAAAGAGACACTAGGCCTGCAACACTTCTGAAACCTGTCTAATCACACAGGTCACCAGAGGCACTTGCAGAGAAAATAGAACCCACACTGCAGACCCTCGCCATCCGTCTCCAGGAGAAGGGTCTCGACCAGTGTGTTTCACAGATGCCTCAGAGGAGCCTTATGATGAGACAAGCTTGGGAAACTGCCAAGAAACAGAGAGGAAAACCCAAAGGGCTACCAGTTGGCCAGCCCTTCCCTGGACTGTCCTTATTCTAATCCCTTGGTGGGTCTGTGCTGTTCCTCTCTCAGCAACAGTCTATTTATAATTCGGCTTCTCACGCAGCATGCCTACAGGGAGAAAATACACCAATCTAAGGATGAGAGCTCTCTAGTCTTCCTAACAGCTGCATTTCTCACTACAAATTAACAAATCAACAAGACGGACTGATTAGTCTCTGGGAGGCGAGACTGTATAAATTTCCTCTAGGAGAGGGCTCTACTCTCAGGATGCTGACCCAGCCAGAGTCCCCTGGCATCAGCCCTCTGTATCCCCTGGACCAAAGATGTTGACACTAGAGCCATATTCAAATCACGACCCTCAAATCTGGAAATTAAAGAGAGCCTCAGCACAAAAGTCAAGATTCACTGGGCATGCAGCTAGCGCTTTCAGGAGGGTTCAGGACAAACTAGTGAGGAAAACTGTGCTACTTTCTTGTCTCTCAGAGATTCGCAGGTTTGGAACGGGGTGGGGGCTCAGAGTCCAAACGCAAAATGCACAGACACCAGCCGGGATGGGTGTGGGGGAAACGTGTTTAAACCCAGCAAAATTACTTTCTCAGCAAAAAAGTTATCTTAGACTATACACTACTTTTGTTTAATTTGTTACATGGTGACAACATGCAATAGTATTTTTCTTCCGGCAATGCAACTATTCTTATGAAAAAGGTGCTAAGACAACAGAATTATGAGTATTTAAATCTCTTTTTCTAGTAACCACTTGTAACAGCTGGAAATGTAAGATGAAAGATCATTCCCTCGGAAGGAACTGAGCCCAGGTGACTCTGATGGGTAGCCTGCCATATGGCATCAGGATTACTATTTTAAGAGAGCAGATAGTTATTTATCCTGCACGTGAAAGCGTTCCATCCTTATCACACAAATGGGGTTTAGGGAGGACGTTTTTCAGGCAAACCGCTCATTATAATGTAGAAAGACTAAAGCATTTTTAACCTGAAAATCCAGAGTCCTTATCTGACTCAGCAGCTGCCACACCGTGTTGACGGGCCACTTTCTTCATCTCGGCACCTTTGCCGAGCTTGGCCGAGAGTCTTCTGGGGCCTTCTCTGGATGGGTTTTTCCTCTCCATGTTTTACTAGGCCGGAAGTGGACTCATCAGTACTCTTTTCATCTGGATCGCCCTGTGAAAAACAACAATTACATAAGAAGCCACTGCCCAGAGGGCTGGCGCAGGTGAGCCACATGGTGAGTGAAGTCAGGGCAAAGGACATGGCCTCGCCCACTTCCTCTGTAGTTTCTGAGGCTTCAAAGTTTACCAACAGTAGAAGAGTTTCTGCCCAGAGGAGGTCACTGTCCTCTCGCTGCCCTCTGATTCCATTCTAGATTCAAGGCACACGTCCACATGCAGTGGAAGCTTTGTAAATTGCTAACAAAGGCACGTCTGATCAGGCTTCTCGGAATGGGTAACTAAGCCCCTGCTCCCCAAGGAGGAGAGGTCGTGCCCACCTGGACAGGCCAGCTTTCCCAGGCTGCAAGTGCGGGCCCTGACTTAGGCTGCCTCCCATAGTGCACTTTCTCAAATTAACCTTTTCCTTCTTTGGATGAGGTACTGAACAGAGTAAAAACAACTCCTTGTATACGCATGCTACATTTTGCCCTAAAAAGCACTTTTTTGCACAAGTAAGATCACAAATAACAAGCTGTGATTGTATAAAAGCCCGTAACATTGCTGCTATTCACGTTATCTCACCTGAGCCTCACGAGGGCCTCCTCAGCTGCCATCCCATTTTACAGAGGAAGAAGCTGAGCTCAGAGAAGTTACACTCAGTCATTTAAAACTATTTCTCAAGAGCCTGCTCTGAATCAGGCATTGTGCTAGGACTGGGGACAGAGTGAACAGAACGGACACGGTCACTACCTTCCTGGAGCTTCGGTCTAGAGAGAGACAGACACGAACCAAGTAACCATACAATTAGTTAACTGCTATTTTGATAAGAGCTCTGAAGCGGAGGGGCTAACAGTCTGGGGGCACAGGGAAGGGCAGGCTGCCCTGAGGCAGTGACCTCTAGCTGGGATCCGGAGGATGAGAGTTAGCCAGGGAAGGGGACGGGGCAAGTGTGGAGGCCCGAAGGGGGCAAGGAGCCTGACACCTTCTGAGAGCTGAAAGGCCAGGGAGGCCAGAGCACAGCGCGGGGGGTGGAGAAGGTCATGCTCTGATACTGGAGGGGTCAGTGGGTGATGGACAGGCAGTGCATTGTAACCCGTGTCGTAAAGACCTGGGTACGAAGAGCACTGGGAAACCATGGAAAAATTTTAACCAGAAGATTGACATGATCAATTTGCATTTTAAAAGCATTTTGGATGCTGGACTGAGACTGAAGTGGAGAGAGGCCAGAGCGGCAATGAGATTATCGGGGTGCTACCACAGTTGTCCAGGCGAACGGAGGTGGTGCCAGTGGAGACATATTAGGAGGCTGACTTGCTGGGGCTTGGTGAGCGTATGTTGGGGGGTAGATGGCGGTACCATCTTCTAAGATAGGGAGCCCAAGAAGAGCACAGAAGGGATTGGGTAGGGTGGCTAGGCTGGTTCAGTTTGGGCCACGTAGAAAGAAGCGAGTGGGTCGTCCAAGGGAGCTGCTGGGCGGGCTGTCACAGGTACGAGTCGGAAGCCCAGGAGAGAAGACTAGATTTGCCCTAGTGACATACAGCTTGTCCATAGCAGATCCAGAACTAGGCTAACAGTGCAAAGAATGAGAAAAATGAGCCCTTCAAAGGGCTGGCAGGGGCTGAGATCCTTCCAGATGTTTTAACAAGGCCATGAGGGTCACCAAGGAACGGCAGCTATAAGGCTGGCATGCTAAGAACACAGCATACTGCAGGGATCAAGAGAGGAGGCAGCCAAGAGAGAAAATGACATTAACAAAATTGGGTGGGTACTACGGGCTGAATGTTTGTGTTCCTGCAAATTCATATGTTGAAACCTAACCCCCAAAGAAGATGGTATTTGGGGCCTTGTGGAGGGGCTCAGGTCATGAGAGTGGACCCTCACAAATGGGATTAGTGCCTTATAAAGCTGTAGCCTGGTCGACCAGGAGAGGACAGTGAGAAGTCTGTGACCCGGAAGAGGACCCTCACTGGACTGCGTCAGCACTCTGAACTCGGACTACCACCCTCTAGAACTGTGAGAAATAAATTTCTGTGGTTTATAAGCTACCCAGTCTGTGGCATTTTGTTATAGCAGACTGAATGGACTGAGACAGCAGGTGTACGCAATGCCTGGTAACATCTGAAGACATGCGTGACTCCATCCATTTGTCCTTCTGAGTGGAGACACGAGCCCCTGCCAAACAGCACTGCACCTGGAATACCCCGAAATGCCACGTCTGAACATCCCCGCTAAGACAGGATCTAGTGAAGAACATCAACCACTCCAGAAGCAGGGGAGGGATTCAAAATAAACAGAAGACAGGGATGCTTATGAGCATCCTTGAGTGACCTTCTCGCTCAGACTTTTGCATTCAGTAGAAGGGGACTAAAGAGGACACATGCTGATTTTAATTTTAAGCATAGTTCCAAGGAAAAATTATTTTATGCCATATCTAACTCATTTAAGGGGACTGGCATCCCCATTCAATCCATGTGTAACCATGCACTCTTTGACAGGTCACGTTTAGTACTGTGTGCATAAAAGATCCACAATGGCACTGTCACATCTCGCACAGCACTGTGCAAAAGGAACGTCTCTCTGTTGGATGGCTATGAAGTGTGACAGCACAGACAATCCAGTTGAAAAAGTAGACTAAAATGTAAAACTGTATCTCTAATTAAATCAGAAGCCTTTTGTATGAAACTCAACAAATGAGCACAGTTTCATTTTCCTGAAATAATACTGTCTGAAGGTGAACAGGAGGCTTATTCAAAAGGGAAGCAGACGTAGCTTGCGGATGGGCAGGCAGACTTATTCGAGTCTGTCTCTGCTGTTGATTCAGATGAGGGAGGCAGCTCATGTTGCAACTAACTAAGAACTTGACAAAGTTTCCTAGTATCTTACTAAACATGGATTATTTTACGGGTTATTTTTTTTCCTTTTTCTCCCCAAAGCCCCCCAGTCCATAGCTGTCTATTTTCAGTTGTGGGTCCTTCTGGTTGTGCTATGTGGGGCACCACCTCAGCGTGGCCTGATGAGCGGTGCCATGTCCACGCCCAGGATCTGAACCGGTGAAACCCTGGGCCACAGAAGCGGAGCGCGTGAACTTACCCACTCGGCCGCGGGGCCGGCCCCTACAGGTATTTTAGATAAAGCATCCCAATCTAGTCTTCTACAACCCTTGTGACGAGACAACAAAAAAGATCTTGTTACTGTTTTTAAACTGTAGTCAACAGAGCTAAAGATACACAGCAATGTATTCTGGCTCATAGAGAATTTGCAGGACAATATTGATTGGGGAATCAAAACACTGAAACGTTGACAAACAGGTTAACAGGAGTACAGATGCAAAAATTTTAGATCCTGGGAATTGGTGGCAGTGGGAAATAAAGAACACATAATCTACTATAGGATAGTAACTTGACTACTTTGCATGTGAAAGTGACTAAAAACATGAATGCCTCTGTCCTAAGTAAAGTTCTCTTTAAGCAGCAGGAGGCCTTAGTGTCCCAGAGAGGTTCAAGTGGGATGGAGAATGAAGGGCTACATGCCACCTTGACCTCTCTTCTCTGAGAGAAGCAAGTCCCTCCAGGGAGTGGCACTGAGGACATCAATGAGGCTGTGAACAAGCGACCCACTCATACACAGCTCCATACGAGGCCCTCAACAAGAGAGAAGCAGACAGTGATGGCATTTACTACCAGAGCTCTCAAACCCAGGGCCGTGCAATGGCAGTCTGAAAACCTCAAGAAGATTCTTCCTCCTCTTTGGTATTATCTTACAATAAAGGTAGATGCTCATAAGCTGACTAGGGGTTGAAAACTGGGTTACCAAGCTCCTACCCGCTGAGCCATCTCAGCTGCCTGGCACAGACTGGAAACCACTAACACCGCTTTACAAACATCTCAGACCCCCACGTGCCTGACTCTGCATTAGAAGGCCTCCAACTTAAGCTCCCAAGTGTCAGACTTGACCCTAATCGGGCCTCTTATAAGTACATACGTAGCACGTTGTCCAAAAGGTTCCCAGAGAGACCAGTACACACTAAAACTCATAATGGAAAGTGAATCAATAAGCATAGAGGTTTCTATAAATAGGTATTAGATGAAATTCTAACAAGTGCTCCACAGCATTTGGCTCTTTTATTTTTGCACTTCTTACATCATGCACTTCTTACATTCTAATTATTTGTTTGTCTCCTCAACCTCAAGAGTTGTTTTTTCATCTCTGCAGCCTCAGCCCCCAGGAATTAATGTGTGAGGTACTCAGCAGAATAATAAATTCCAACAAATCTTCTGTCCTGCTGAGTCTTGCTGACAGCCCTAGCAGCTTAGTTGTCACCGAAATACGTGAACAGCTTGAAGGTCAAGATGCCGCATTTCCTAACACCATGGTCACCTCAAGATCTAACTGCCAGGTCTGGTCTCCCGCAGGAAACTGACCTCTCACCTACTCCTTACTCTAAGATGAAACCTCAGGGAGAAATCCACCAACCAAATCAAAGACTGGTCTAATGCACAGACAGTCTCTATGGAGATTTAGGCTTGTGATAAAAAGGAGACCCAAGGTTTACAAGAAAAGGATCTGAAATGCTGCTCTCAGACTTCTCCTTTTATAGATACTTGGCAACTTTCCTGAGAGCTCAAGTTCCTTTTAAAATGTGTCACGTGTATAACATGCGTGCGCAGACGGAGGTGTGAGGTGAAAGCACGAGCAGAGGCTTAAACACAATAAAGTGATAAGGCCACAGAAAATTAAGACCTTAACACCCAGAAAACCACGAGTAATCCCAGTGAGAATTATAAATACATTACTAGGTTTCTCTGAAGTCACTGTCTCTTGGTCTGCACATTCAGAGATACCATTCTGGGGGAATGTGTGCGCAATTTAACAGAGAACAACAACAAAAAAAACCCATCTACTGAAATCTCTAATATTCATCTTCCCCTTCACATCCATTTTCATTTCCCAACTTGGCTGCAAATTCAGGTCAAAAATCCTGAACCCTGATTCCATACAATGTCCTCTATTTGGAACCAGGTATGGCTCACTCCATTCTCCTCTTTCAAAGAGGAAATAATATCAGAGAACTTTCTCAAATCCCAGCTTTGAGAGGGCCCACAGTAACAGCGCCCACCCCCCCACTCGCACCAGCCCACGCTGCATCTGTGCCAGACAGCAGGAGCACCCTCCAGGCATCCACCAGCCTGCCAGCTCAGCAGGGCAGAACTGGGCAGACCCTAGGACTGTGCTGTGACTGGCATACCACCAGCCTCCCAGGCAAACGCCCAGGCAATGCCTACTGCCAGGACTTGGGCAATCACTGGCTGGGGCCTGTGCCCTGGGTCTGCAATTAGAGCTCCCCCCAACCCACCCACTAACCATTAATTCCTCACTTGGCACTACCCACGTACTCCCCCACCTCTCCTCTCCCTGGCACCACGCCTGGCAAGTTGGCCACCCAGGAGAAATAACCAGCAAAGGGAGTGACAGCAGGTCTCCAGAAAAGACAGCACACCTGTGCCCCGGGCCCAGAACGGGGCACTACCTCCACCCCGAAACTGGAGGCCCAGGACCCTCACCGGGTTACCAGCTCCCGCGCCCACTCACCTGCTCATACCCTGCACCCTGCTCACAGCCCGGCAGGCCTCCAGGCTCTCCCGGCGCCCGGAAGCCCAGCAGGGGAACAGGGCCCACCGCCCCAACGGTGTTCCCCCACCGACTCCTCGCACAAGCCCCCCAGGCCGGCCCCAGCCCCCTCCCCACCCGCGATGCCCTCTCCCACGCAGTCTCGCCCCTCCTAGCCAAACCCACCGACTCAATGCGGGAGGGACGCACCACCTCCCGCTCCAACCGTTTGGCCTTCTGTCTCCCGAGAGTCCCTGGTCTCTCTCTGGCCCACCTCGCTCCCCCTCTTCTCTCCCCTACTCCCACCTCCTTCCCCAGCTCCTCACCCAAACCCTGCCCCGCGCCCAGCAGTCCCTTCCTCACCTAGGGCCGGGGTCGCCGCTCCACGACCAGACTGGCGGGTCTGGTGGCGCATGCGCGAGCCCGGCCCCGCGGCTCCATGACAACCCCGTCGTCGCGGCGTCCCGAGCTATCCCAGCCGCCTCCCGCCCATTTCTCCTCCCCTGCCTCCGCGGGGCTTTCTCCAGCCACGTGACTCTGCTCGGAGGACCCTGCACCATAGAGACTGCCCGCTGTGCTCCTAGAAGGGCCCTAGGAGGCGCTCCTTGTTCCCGCCTCCGCCGGAAGGCGAGGCCGGCGCGCCTCTCGGGGGAGGGCGTGCGTCCCGACAGGACTGGCGCTCTCTCCGCAGAGGGCCGACGTCTCTATGGTCGGTCCCCCAGGCCCCGCCGCCATTTTGTACCGGGGACCTTGAGCGACGAGCCGCCGGGCAGGGTTTCGAGGCGGGGTTTGGAGAAGCCGGCAGCGGGTCGGCCTCTAGCACACATGGCGGGAGGCGTGGTTCTCCTGCGGGAGCGGTGGAGGGCGGCCGGAGGGAACGGCTCTTTCTGCTTGTCCGTTAGGGGTGGGGACCGGGACAGGCCATGCGAGCCGGTGGCGGGGCGGGGGCGTGGGAGGCAGCCGTGTCCCCACCGCCCCGCACGCGGCTCGCGCTTCTGTCACGCCTGTCGCGGCGGCTGGGGTGCGTCCCCGCCTACCTCTGGAGACAGGGCTCCGCGAGGCTGGGGCGCCGTCAGTATTTCTGTTGGATGGTTGCATATCATTTGATGTGTGACTCACTCTGTCCCGTGCGACTGTCCAAGATGTTGGGTTTTATATGGATGCTGTTTCTCATGCCAGCGCTTGGTGAAGCGTCACACACGTGGAACAGCTGAAGATTAAAAAAAGGGGTTGGGATCAGTTGAAGTTCTGATGCGTTGAGTCAGTGAGGGTTACTTCTTAGATTAGGAAATATTTCTACACGGGTGAATCTAAAGAGGCTGCAAGGTGGAGGCCAGATCTAGAGCTGCCCTGTCCAGTAGCAACCAGAGGATATTGAGCTCTTTAAAGTGAAAAAACTTCCGCCTCTCCGCTGCACTAGCCACATTCAAATCTTTATAACCATATACAGCTAATGGCTATCTTATTGGACAGCCGCATGCCAGTGTCGCAGAAAATTGAATTGGGTAGCTCCGATCTAGATGACGGGGAAAGGGGAAATCGCCCTCTGTTGGTAATCTAAGCCTTTCTGAGCGCTGAGAGGTCACCGTTAAATCACGGTAATTCTCCAGACACAGATAATGCTAATGCATTCCTAGATATGAATGCATTTATTAGCATAAGCTCTACCAACAAATAATAATTGAACGCCTACAGCATGTTAGGCTTTTGTTGAGGAGATGGAGGAAGTGAAAACAATAGTAAACAATTATCAAGTAATTAAGAGCCAGGCAGCGTTACATGCATTCTCTTATGATGCCTCTAGAAATTTATAAGATCGGTGCTATTATTTCCAGTTTATAGAGGAGGGTGCTGAAGTTTATGCCGGTGATGACACACTACTAAACCCAGGATCTTAAATGTTAAGCCATATTGCCTCTTTTTGAGGCAGAATAAAACAGTCTTTGCCTTCAAATAGCCTTAGAATCTGATATGGGAAATAAAGACCTGCTCTAGTAAACAGGATGAGAGAGAATCTGCTAAATGCCAGAGGATTTTGAAGAAAAGGTAATTAATAAAATCAAGGGAGTAAAACAATAACCTTCAGCTTGATTTTTGTTTGTTGTTGGAGGAGGAAGAGACCAGGAGCTAAAGCTTTAAGAAGGACAGATAAAAGTTGGATTTACAGTAATGGAAGTGGGTGAGAGCATCATACAGACTAGGCGAAAGAGAATTAATGAAATAAGCAAAAGCATGAGGATTATTTTAGTCCTCCAAAGGTGCAAATAAATCAAACTGCCGTGATTCTACTTACCTTACGAGCAGACAGCCATGCTGTATCGATAACTCGAACTTCAAAGACAAGTTTGGTCATGGAACCAAATGAATCAGACCAGTTTACTGAGAGCCATAATTTTTATTGAACCACTGTGTGGTTCTATGTAATTAGATGTATAGAATAAATAATTCATGAAACTGAATATTATAAAAATAATGGCCAAACCAATGTAAAAAGTTTTCTTCCTTTCTATGTTAATTCGCCAGAGTTTGTCAATCAGCATCTCTGTTGATGAGTTCTTTAATCTTCGCTGTCACACTCTGGTCTAGGCTAAGGTTCCCATGACGGAGAATGGGTTTCCAAGCGCCACTTCTTGCTGTAGAGTCCTTTCTAATTTGAGTCCTCGGTACCAGTTGTGGTTCAAGGCTCATTTTGCCACCATCACTGCCAGCAGGGGGAGACCTGCTCCCTTAAATGCTACACTTAAGGATTTGCGAATCAGCCGCTTTTCCTTTCTCCTGTCACAGAGTGGACAGACTGGAGGTCAGAAACTGTGCCTCCGCCCAGCCTATTTCATTAATTTGTTACCCTGCCCGCTTCGTGTGAGGATTTGAGTTTTCAACCCTGCCATGAAGAGTTAACCCTGTGTTGAGCTTTATTTGAAGATATTTTAAAGTATACAGTATATTGTATACTTTAAAATATCTATAAATAAGTGTTTAATACTTTAATATTTAATATTGAATTTAAAATTAAAGTTATTTTAAAATTATTTGAAAGTAGTTAAGATAGTATAACAGCAGTGGAAGTATTCAAAAGATCTGGTTTCAAATGCCAGCTCCTATCAATATCATTTTTTAAAGGAAGGGGCATTTCAACATCTTACCCACATATACTCAGGGAGGGAGATAGGCTGTGAGCTCACAATTTAAAAATTGAATAATTTCTGCTTTATGAAAAACTCACTGCATTATTCTTATCTTTCCAGTTTTGCTGAGGAGCAGTGAAAACATTGCCATGAGGCTGGCATTTGAGAACCATCTACTTTATTTTTCTGAACTGTAGCTTGGCCATCTGTCAAATAGTTATACTCTTGGCTGAAGTTAGCATCTAGCCTTACTGGTGCTCACCACTTCACACTTTTTCAAGAGGATTTGATGGAATGGTAGGTGTGCAGATGCTCCAGAATCCCAGAGCCATGGGTCAGTGAGAGAAGGGGAGAGGGGCTCCGGCCTGTGTTCGGGCAGAGGGAGCTACATGTCCCAGGCTGGCAGAGAGAGGTGGACGATAGCGGGATGTGTGATCTTTTCCTTAGCAGTCAGGTGAGTAGGCGCCCCCAGCAGCTAGGTTGGTTCTTGGCTCAGATTCTTACGGGCTCTCTGGAAGAGCAGGAACAATAAAAGGATAACATTCAAGTTATAGTCAGGACAGTAATTTATAGGCACAGATTTTATTTCAAGGGCAATGGAAACCCCTCACAAATAATTCTCCATCATCTTGCCAATACCTGAAATTCCTTTTAAGTATAATTGCTCAAGATGCAAATACTCTAGAACCCAAGACAAATTCTTTCATAGTAACAGCTAACAGAGTGCTTACTATTTGCCGGACACTATCCTAAGTGATTGGCCTAGATTTACTCATGTAATCCTCACGCAGTCCTATGAGATGAACGTGGTATCATTATTCTCATTTTACGGAGGAGGAAAGCAAGGTAAAGAGGCCATGTCACTTGCCGAGCTCACTGGTGGTAAGTGATGGAGCCAGAATTTGAATTGCAGAGTCCCTGCTTTTAGCCACCCTGCCAGACTGCCTCCATGTTAAAGTGGAAATGGTACCACCATGCCCTTTCCTGCCGTGCTAAGGAGGAGGCTCATGGGGAGCTGGAGGGCAGTAGGTACAGACACGTGTGTGGGAAAGGATGCCAGGGATGGAGACTGGGCACTGAATAGGCAAGCTTTGCAGAAGACACCTCCATCTGGTCCTCTTTCTTTCACTCGGCACTTGGTAGAGATATTTCTTGTGTGGGGGGTATGTACTGGTTTCAACCCACGTTTCTTCCCACACCACTCAGCAGTGCCTTTTACTTGTTAGATACCCTATCTAGAATCTTTTTAGTGGAAAGATTTTAAAAGTGTCATCTCCCCCCACTAAATGTGAAGTCTTTGATTTAAACTCTCAACTTCTTTCTTTCTCTAGATGACCCAGAAAGCTGTGCAGTTGCCCCTTTGTGTGGAACCATCTGATTTTTGACTTATAGGTTCTCCTTGGCCTTGTATCTTGCCTTGCAGGTTTCCCTCCCTTCTGTAAACAGCCTCTGGACTCCAGCTGAGTTCCCCGGCATGGCATTGCCGAAAGGCAGGGAAGACAGGCCGCCACAGCAGAACGCCAGACGGACCTGGGGCTCTTGAGCAGAACCTGACACTTCAGTAATAGGAAGCTGGCTACAAAGCCCAAGGTCAGGAGCAGCCTCCGCACAAACATTAATTATTCCCCAGATTGGACACATTCTGTCTCCTGTGGCTTCATCCAGACTGGTTTGCACTGTGATTTCTCGCGTACCGATCTGTCTCCCCCACTGGAGCCTGAGCTCCTTCAGGGCAGGAATTATATCTAATGTTTTTCTCCCACAAAGCAAATTCTACATAGTAAGTGTTCAACCAACTTGACATCAATGGGACCCCAGCTTCCTGAAAATTTAACAGTGGGCTCACACATCACTGACAGGACTCCAGAGAAGGAAGACACCACCAACCAGGGGAGGGAGTCGCTTCCAGGACATGGTACAAGGACCAACTGGAGATCTCCTTTTCTTTTGTCAGTTCCCTGACACGGTCTGCTCTCTGCCACCTCCACACCTTGTGCACACAACCATATGTGTCATTTGAGGCATATGAGAAGGAGGAGCGAAGGGAGCCGCTGCTGACAGGTTTGCTCCACACTTGGAATTCTGCCACAGAAATTCCAGAGCCTCTGTTGCTCCTCCTGCCCCACCCCACCCCACCCCTAGTCATTGGAAGATCTTTTCCATCAGAGCATTTGCTCAAGAATGCCCTTGCATCGTCCTCCCTAACGTTTGATTTGACTCTTGGCTGACTCTGTTTGGAATTCCATTAAGACTCCTAAAAGCTGGTGGGCAGTGGAGATGTCGGATGTGGTGGCTTTACTTTGCAGACAGAGACGTGCCCAGGACCTTTGCACACTGGCCAGGCAGGGCTGGTCCCTGCGACAGGCTTCACTCCACAGGGTTGGCCGCCTGGGCTTGTTTGAGTCAACCTCACAACAGTTTGGATAAATGGGCCCCGGATGTTGGGTGGATGCCTTGCCCCGATGTTCACCAAAACTACATGGCTAATTTTATCTCGATTCAGAATCTGCTTTCTCTGCCACTGATTGCCTGATTGGGGAGACCAGGATCTCAAAGTTAAATCTCAAACAGGAGACTGAAAAGCAAGCAATTTCCAAGGAAGACTTCAATATATTCATGGGAGTAGGGGGTGGGCAAATATTCTCTTTAAAAAAAAAACCTGGTGGGGGGAGTTCTTTTAGAAATTCATGTGAAAAAGAGAAATCCTCTTAGATTCCCAAATTTGAAGTGGCATTTAAATTTAAGTTCTCTTTTACTTAATGTCAGAGAAGCTTTGAGACAGTCCTTATTCATCCTCCAATGCTTTATCGTGTTTTCAGCCTGTTTCAAAGGCAGCCATGTCAGTACGTGCCGTGGAGTGGAGTCTTCACAAGGCAGCTCATTTGCCTGAAATGGCTAGGAAATCACATCCAAACAAAGAAATTACTAAGAGCATTTTCTTCAGGTATAAAAAAGTGTGGTTTATTCACCCAGAACTTGGTTTTCTTTGAGGTGTTGAGTGTCCCTTTTGAGACTTAAAATGCTGCTTTCATCTGGTGAAATCTCATCCCAGCTGGAGTCATGGACACGCTGATCTGGAGCCCTTATTGACTTGACAGCCATCCACATGCAGAACTACAGTGCTTTTGGCCGCCTGCTTTGTGGGCAGGGATAACAGGATAACCCACAGGATTTACCCACAGGGTAAATGCAAGAAAATTCACTGGAATGTCTTGTGCTAATAATTTAACAAAATTCTCCCTCCGGCACTTTCTGACAGGGCATGGGGATTTTCTCCACTGTCATCACACTTCAGGAGCGATTGTGTCATCCAGGTGCAGGTGTTCTTGGCTGTCCTTTACCTGTTGTCTCCTCCTGTCACAAATAGCCCGGAAAGAAGATGACTGGTCCATCTCTATTAATGGGGAATTACCAAGTGGTTGCCTAGCAACTGGCACAGGGCATCAATATGGTCTCTGTGGTGGAATGTAGAGTGGTTGGCTCGCCTTTCAAGAATGACTGTATTTGCATATTTCTTTTGGGCTTCTAGAAAAATAGGTATGTTTTCCTGGATTTGAGGCTATTAAAATGGCCTTTTGTATTGCTTTACCCCAGTGTTCATCTTATAGTGGCCCAGTATCATAAAAAGTGACAACTATCTGATCAAATCATTAATACAGCAATTGCTTCAATTAAATTCAATTCAGTAAGCATCTTCTACGTACCAGATACAATGCTAGATACTGCAAGGACTTATAAGGATAAATAAGTATGGTCCCTGGTCTCAGGAGCTCATGTGTTTAATAGATATGTATACATCATTTATTTACACGTGTGAAACAGACAGCTATGATGTATATGTAAAATTAAGGTATTTTTATTTGGAAGGTTTCCTTTGTGTTTGATCAAAGGATTTTTCACTTTTATTTAGATTCCTACCTTTATAGCTTACAGCTGCAATCAGTTCAAAAAGCTGCAATCAGTTCAAAATCACTTTTAAGACATGCTCTTACTGGAATCTCAGTAATTAGCAGCTCTTAAATAGCTCTTGTTGGAGCTGACACTGCCAGTGTATTCGGGCGCTGCCCTGCGTCTGTTCTGTAGTCTTCCTGCGTAATTGCTTGTGAGCTGTTCACAGCCTCCCCGCCTCTATTTTACACATTCCAGTTTAAAAAGAAGTCCCTTGCCTTTCTTTGTCTACTTTGCAGCATGCGATCAGCCTCTGTGCACTTAAGGAGGGACTTTGGAATGTTCCAGATCTTGCATCAGGGAGTCCTTTGATCACTTGAGCTAACTTCTTTCCCACTGGGGAGGCAGTTGCTATACAAAGGGGTTGACTAGCCCCTTTCCCTTGAGTTGATTTGTCTGCTGGATTGGTTTGGCATCTTCTTCTTCTTCAGGAAGGTGCCAAGGTATGGTGTGAAGCAACTGTTCCCGACAGCAGTGGTGCACAATGCTGTGCACACTCATTCGATGCCCCTCCTGAGTGGACGATATCGGGAATCCACAAAGAAAAGAGGAGGCTCTTATGGGTTGTTGTACTGTGGCACCAGGATGCTCCGACACCACCTTGCGTTAGCGCTCTGTGGCTTCTCTGTTGCCCTCCCAGATCCCAATGCAGGGCCTGCATTTTGCTCGTTTTCTCCACTATCCACCTCTCTCAGATCCTTTGCCATTCTTGAGAAATCATTCAGACCTCTTGTCTTCACGCAGAGCACCTGCCCTTTGCTTCCAGACCCAATGGCACGCAGAAGTTAGGGGACAAAGGGGAGAAGGGGCCTTATGGGACCAGCCCCTGTACAGATGTTCTCTTGATGCTTCCTCCTTTCATCCTCATAACAGTTTCTCTGGAGCCCCTCGTAGCCCAGGCCACAGACGAAGCTCAAAAAGTGCTAACACATATTGCTCTAAAGAGTACTAACATATTCTCCTGTCTCAAGACAGCTTTTCACTTATGATCAGACCAAGCGATATTGACTATGTACTAGGTACCTCCTAAGGGTCAGGGACACTGTGGAGAATAAGACACAGTCTCTACCCCTGAGAAGTTCACAGCTGGGTTTTGTTAAGTGCTGTAACGACGAAATGGAACACACACGGAAGGTCAGTGGATTTAGGTGTAGGGTGGGCGTTCAGGAAAAGAGATATGGGGCACCATTTCAACTAGACCTGGGAGGCTGGCAGACCAGGGGGCCTCTCTATTTACCTTTAAAAATGGCCATAGAGCAGAGAAGCTGTTTCCCTTTGATGTTGGGAAATCCTTTACTGCTCTAATCTAAATCCTTTACGCTGCTGCAGTTTACCCCATATTCCGCCTCATTCCAACTTTAGTTGGAATAGCAAAAACCTCTGCCTAATAACCTAGTCATGCAGAAGCCTTTAGCAAATCATATCTGGTACTCTACCCTAACATGGGAAAAACTATTTATTTTCCTCCTACCCCAAAACCCTGTGGCTAGACTTCTCTAGCCACTGCCCCCACGAAGGATAGGGGGAGGCAGGGCCATGAGTTAGTGGGAATTCTGCCCCAGATCTGCACTATAAGCATCTTTCATGGCATTTTCACTAAAGACAGGATTTTTGAATTTGAATGACATAGAGAAGAGAAGACTAAAGGGCAGTGTTTCACAACACCCTGCTACCAGACTTCACCAGCCTGCAGGTGCCATGAGGTCCTACTGACATCCAGACCTCAATTTCTTTAACTCTGAGTCCCCCACAAAGGTCTGTAGAACTTGCTACTCGTCCCTTCTCCCTGCCAACTCTTCCTCAGCTATTTCTGGATGCCCCTGAGGTATCTCCCATAGGTTCATGGGCAGACCCACCCTGCTGTCCCACTGCCACCTCCCCACTGGCAGTCCATCCTTCACGGCCCCTTAAAAGAGATGCTTATCAACATGTGTGTCCGCTGGAAGAACACCGTTCTTCTAATGGTCACTCCTGTTGCTCTGCTAGACACAGCATCCTCTCCTGGGGCCACTCTAACCCACCAACGTGGCAAAGTGGAGGGTGGGTAGAGCGTTGGAAACAAACGACCTTCTCAGTGATTGGCTGTACTGTGACCTGTGTCCCAAAGCAAAACTGCTTGTATCTTTAGTACTCAAAGTCTTACATGATTACTTCTCTTTTCATTATCACCCTAACTCTTCCCTCACTGGGGCTCGAAATGGTGCTGATAATGTCTGCCCTCCTTTCCAGGTTCGTGAGAATGGCATGAGAGAAAAATAATAATATAAATAAAAAGCGCTTTGCAAGCTGTCAAGTGTTTGTTATTCTCTAAAGGCAAGCTGGAAGAAACCACAGCAGCCCAGTCACATCAATGCTGGGAGGATGCTCTGTGTCCACACATCACGCCACCTTGTGTCTCCAGCACCAATGTGAGGCCTGGAACTACCACGACCCATCCTGATATACTATCTTGTCTTAAGGCACAGTGGGAAATCCAGTCTGGTGAGGCCAGCCCTGGAACCTGAGAGAGTGGGAACGACTGGGACTAGACGAATGTGTGAGTGCTCACTGACACGGAGCGCCAAATCCCCTTCTCCATCAGAGGCCGACTCTTCGGAACCACTTCTCATCTCAGAATCGTGGCTGTAGTTTTCCCCAGCAGTTATCAGTCTTCATGCCAAGAGCACTGGTGATGCAGCATATCTTAAAAGAGTATTTCACTATTATCTCTGGGATTTTTTCCAAGTCACCGACACTGTTTCTTCAAGTTTTGATGCTGGCACTTTCTTGATCTTACCAGAAGGATCCTGCATATGCAAGAAGTGTCAAACAAAGCACCAAAATATATCACGATAAGAAAAGGAATGCTATAATTGTGTCATATCCTTGGAAAGTCCAGAATGTGTCACCAAATGGTCATGACTTTGGCATTAAAAAAGGTTTTGTGGGACGACTGGCTTCCACCAAGACCTAACCCCAGCGGCAAAGGCTGCTCCAAGTCTAGGCATGCCTCACCCGTCTCCCAAATGGGTTGGGGAGCTCTGAAGTTCTCTGCACTGGATGATGGTTGGAATTATAGCAGTAGACAGATTGGCCTTAAATTGATTTTGATATAAAGGTTCTGTTGACACGGATCTGGTCCCATTACCTGCCATTTCCCACTCAGAACCTTGTCCCTTTTGCTGTTTCTGTATAATATTTGTCCTGCACATCTTATAGCCTGTTGCTCACCCATTCACAGCTCCTTTGCTGGTCCCCTGGCTCATGGCGAAGGTCGTGGCCCCAGGAATGAGGTGGGGGGTGGGGGTCCCATTCCCCTCCCCCCCATGTTTCCCCCGCGGGCTGAGTTCCAGTGCTCGTTCGTTTTGCACCCCTTTCCTCCCATGGTCTTCTCATCCTCTTCCTCCCTTACAGCCAGACTCCCATCCCTTCAGTCAGTTCCACCCCGCAAGGCGATCCACCGGCCCCTCCCCTCTGGCTGATGCGGACCTAAGGGCCTCCCGCACCAGAGCACCCAGGGCGGTGGGGGACAGGGCGCAGGTGGCGAGGACGCCCCAACTGCATGTGCGCAGGCGCGGCCAGCCCTGCACTCCCCAGGACTTGGGAGAGGGGTGGCGGCCGCTGGGTCGTGCTCTGCTCTTTGGAAAAAGGGACTCTTCAGCGAAGGGACCTGCCAAAGTCTGGAAAACAAGTCAGCAACTCACTTTACACCATCTTCAAATGGCGAAAGAAACTGTGAAAACCAGCTTTTATGGTCTAAGTATATTCTAAGTTCAAAACCTAAGTGTTCTGTTACCACTGTTACTTGTTTAAAAATCCCTCTTTCATGAACTTTGGCCAACGAGGGTATCTGGGATTGGAAACACATGGGATCTCTATCAAAGGAACCCAAAACATCACTTCCATACAATATGCAATTTCTGGAACGGAGATAAAGCCTCAATAAACGTCAATCAATAGTCTGCAACAAAGGCAAATAAAGGCTTAAGAAGAATATTGGCATGGTGTTCTTAAAAGAATAATGTCCCATATTTAGTCAACATAGTGATATGTTACTATTGTTTTCTTGTGGTGGGAGATCTGAAATTATGAGAAGATGGTTTCTGGATCTAAACAGGAAGAGATGGTGCCTGGCCAGGAGGAGGAATTGACTGGACCATAAACAAATATGTAAGCAGCTCTTCTGTTCCCATTATTCTAAGTCGTCATTGAAAAAACTCTATGCCTCACATGCACCTATGCATTTTGTAATGCATTATTTTAAAATTAATTTGTTTGTATAGACAGGAGCCCCACAAAAATATTTTCCTGGGGCCTGACTTAAGGGTTGCTCCTGATGACCACTGCCTGGCCAATGGCATGATGGGTTTCAGAGATATTAGAATATGAAAAAAACTTGCATCTTAAAATAGATGAAACACAATAATTTAGTGCCTTAGAAAAGACAGAAATTTCTTTCTCATTTGAGGTACTCGTTCCAGGCTGGCAGGAGGCTCTGCTCCATGTGGTCATTCAGGGATCTAGTCCCATCTTGGCACCAGTTCCTTGCATCCTCGTCTGTCATCCCTTAGGGCCTCATTCTCACCTGTGTGGTCAAAGCTGGGCCTCAGGCAAGTTCATGTTCTGGTCCAAGAGAAAGGGAAAGAGTGTAGATGAGCATGACCACTGTCCTAAGGCATAGGTCTGGTCATCTCTTCTGTTCATATAGTGTAAACTTGGTCACATGGTCACACCTACATGCAAGGGAGGCTGGGAATTGTGATCCCCAGCTGGGGAGCTCTGGGCCCAACTACAAATGTGTTACTTCAGAAGAAGGGGAGGATGAATCTTGATGAAACTCTGATAGTCTCCATTTCAGGATCCCATTTGAATGAACCATCTCAGTTGCTAGTTTGTCCTAGAGACCATATGAGAGCTTTTGTCTGTCACCTGCAGGTTGATTTGGACAATCATGGCACAGTCTCTGTGCTGCCATTCAGCAAAGTCCTCCTTACACTGTTAGCTCTTACCTGGATGGATTTAACAACAACGGGCTTCTTTTTAGTAGACACACTATGGTAGCTATCCATTGCTTTTTGTCACCCAGAATCCTTCCACCTGTCCTCTAGAGTTGTACCCTGGTTTTCCTCTTGGGAACCCCCACTCTTCCATCTTCGATATCCTGCATGCAGAGTTGACTCCACTCCCAGATCCAGGGGTGGGTGTGTAACTGCAGCCTGGCCAGTTAAGCTGTCACATTCCCCAGCCATGGGCTTTTGCTTGGTGATGGACCCATGACCAAATCAGAGCCAATGAAGTGCAATGAAACTTTTGCTAGGACTGCAGAAAGAAAAACACTTCATATTTCTTCCTCAAACCTGGGAAGATATAGGCTTAGAGTGCTGGCAGCTATCTTGCCCCTACAAGAAGAGAATATGGAGAAGAGCAGAATCAAGAATAAGATAAACCAAGTCCTGGTGATACTGTTTGAGTCCCTGATCAAGCTAGTCCTGAGTCAGCACTCTGCTTAAGTCCCTGGTCTTCCCGGTTATATGAGACAGCATCCACCTCCCTCCCTAAGTCATTTAGAGTTGTACTTTTTATCACTTGGTGCAACCAAGAGAGCACTAACTGACACAAGGGCCACAAAGACTTGGGGTTTTCTTGCACAAAATGAAAATTCCCTTGGGATACATGTGGCCCAGCTCTACCCTGGATCTTCTTCGTTGTCCAGTCACTGAATGGGCACTGCTCCTAGCCGGTGGTTCTCGGCCAGGAGTGATTTTGCCCCCCAGGGATGTTTGGCAATGTCTGCAGGCCGTTTTGATTGTGACAATGATGGGAGAGGAGAGGGAGGGGATGCTACTGGCATCTTGTGGATGGAGGCCAGACATGGTCCTAAACGTCCTTACAACACACAGGGCAGCCCCCACAGAATTATCCAGCCCAAAATGTCATTGGTGCTGAAGTTGACAAGGCCTGCTAACCCCAGGCTGAACTCACATGCTCTGGAGTTACTCCCCAGTGCAAACACGCTCGGAGAAACTGAGGCCCCGGGAAAGGGCTGTGTGCTCGCCAGGGAAGGCCTCACCCTCAGACTCTCCGGGGCTTGTCAGCTCCAGGCAAAGTGACAGCAACTTGTTCATGATTAAGCGCTTCGGGAAACTGATCCAAGAGTGCTGTCATTGCCTGGTGGGGGTTGTGACTGCTTCTTGGCACCAGGGTCTGGGAGAGAGAGAAATGGGTGGCCTGGTGACAAAGGGATTTTATTTAGAGCCTAGCATCTTTTAAAGAGTATTAGGAGCTCTCTCTTTTACAGACTGAAAAACTAGGCTTGTTTAGGTCCTGAAATACCCCCGTCATCGTTAGCACGATAGATGCTTTTTACTGAAATGTAGAGAACCAGGTCTCCACTCCCTAAAGCATCTGTGCTGGGGGACGCGGGCTTTTCTAGAAGCTCTGAGTATGGACTGCTCCTGCTTTCCAGGCTCACATCCCCACTTGCATTCCAGCCCACGCCTCTGCTCAGCTGGTTCTTGCTGGAAGCTTCCTGGCGGGTGTCTGATCAGCAGACCAATGCTCTGAAGACCACCCCCCCACCCCGACTCTCTGCAGAGCCCCAGCTCCTGCCTGGTCCTAGTGTCCTCTCTGAAGGGCCTGCCCCTCTTTACAAAGCTTGACTCCTAAAGAAGGACAGAGGTAGTCCCAAGCTTGCTGCAAAGACAATGAGAGAGAGGAGACTCAGAGGCAGCCATTTTTTCCCCCCAACAATAACAAATAAGTTATTTAAAGGACTGATCAGTGGCAGCTCTGACATTCCTAGAGAATTTACATTTTTTTAGCAGAACCTCCCCCCCCCACCCCCCCACGCTCTCTCCTGGCTTTTCCCAGACCCCTCCCCCACTTAGTTGACTTTGCACAACAGGGAAAAACAGCTTTTGTTCCCAGGCAGATCTGTATCCTCCCAGAACCTTTCCTCCGGCACGTGCAGCCCACGACCTCCGGCCTCGCCTCCCCCTCCTGGGGTGAAGTCAGGCCAAGACGGGGTGAAGAGTTCGGAGGGTGTGGGTGTTTTGCACCGGGACAAGGAGTCCTTTTTTGTTGTTGTTCTTGGTGTCATTTCCAGACAGATAGGAAGGGAAAAATAGTAGACATTTTTCAATTCTGGACAAAAGCTGAGACAGAATTTTCTTTAGGAACCTCGCAGTGGATCAAGGCTCTGCCCTTGGGGGGTAGAGGGAGGGGAATATAAGACCCGACTTCCCTTGAGAGAGCGTGAGTCCGGTGAACCTTATCTGTTGAATGTGGGATGTAATCAAAATGCAATTCAGT